TGCTGAGTGTTTAGGTGCCACCCAAGGGGACTTTACATTTTCCCAGTCTCTCCAGGGAGGGCTTCACGTAGGCCCTTGGCCTAGCCTCACCCCGTCCAGAGATCATTCTGATTTCTGGGTCCTCCGTGCGCCATACAAAAAAGCCTCAGACGCAGAACTCCCACTGAAGAACCAGCTCAACTCTGGATTCAAACACCCCTTCCCAAGCTCCTCCCTCCATCTCCTGCCCCAGCTTGGCACCTGTTGACGGGCTCTGGATTTCCAGCTCGACTGCTCCATTTTCTGTCGCCATGAGGTAGGGAGGCGTGTGCTTCTGCTTGTCTAACTCAAGTCTTTCTTGCTGCAGAAAGAAGAGAAAGGTGTGTCAGGCTGCTGGATTCCTCCTCTGGTCTGGCTGAGAGGAGGCCAAAGCCAGCTGACTGAGGGGAGAGAGGCACCTGGAGCAGAAAGGGGCAGCCTGGTGTCCGTCTGTCTCGCAGCGGCTGCCCGGGAGCAGTCCTGGGGCAGTTGTAAGGGATGGGGCCGGGTGGGCAGAGGCGGAGGCAGGGGCGCAAGCAGGGGAGGCGGGGACGGAGGAGAGGATCTCTTACACCAGGGGCCATGCAGCTCGGACTGCCACCACCTGTCACTCTTGGCCCCCGTTCAGAGGACACGGCATTCTTCCCGTGGACCGACTGGGGGGAGAGTGGTGTTGGAACAAGTGGGAAGAGAAAGAGGGAGGGGGCACCTGGGGCCCTGGGGGAGCAGTCTTTTCTCAGGCTTTGCCTGGTATCCCTGGCTTGAACAGGACTGGGAGCCAGGGGAAAGGGGGACCTGGAAGAAGAGGGGCAAGCTCTTAGGCCAGGTTCCCATTTTTTGAGTGCCTGCTATTAGGTTTATCCATTTTGTCTGAAAACATCATCTTGATAATCACTCTGTAGGGAGCTTTCATCCTACTTTCTAGATCAAGATGGAAGGAGCAAAAGAGTGAGTAACTTGCCCAATGTCACTTCACAAGGAAAGCAGTTGGGCCAGAAATGTCTTTCTTCACAGCCCAAGGTCCTCTCTCTTCCCTAAAATTTCCCAGCCTGTGTCTCCCTACTGGGTACCCCCTTTCTGAGTCTCATAGCATTCTGAAAGTTGAAATGCTTCCTGTCTGTACCTGGGTCCCCGCCCTCTATGTGATTGTCCCCACAGCACGTTCTGGTTGAGCTTGAAATGTTGGAACCCCGTCCTCTGGGCTCCTTCAGTTCCAGGCCGATCCCACCACTGACACTGTCTGGGAGCCCCTCCAGGATGGGGGCTGTATGTGTCCCCGGCACAAAGGGCACTCGCCAGTCAGACACTGGTGAGTGGACTGGGTCTGTGGGGCTACTCTACTGTGACAGCCCTTGCTGACATCCCCTCATTACGACTGTAGTTACTGAGCACATATTGAGTGTGAGCCCACAGAGGACCACTTAGGGCTCAGCCAAGGGCTTTCCCCAGCTCACTGGATCTTTACAAGGGACTCCAAGGGCCAAGAGCTAGACCATCTTACAGGTGCGGGAACTGATGTTGATAGAGGGTAAGAGGCTTGTCCCTAAAGCCACACAGCTCTTAAGTAATTTCAAACTATCCAGGTTCATATCCAGATGAGACCAAAATTCAGGCTGGGACAACGTAAGGCGCTTTAATTGCTACACTTGTTACTGTTATGATTCCCAAATAATAACAAGCATTTCTTGAACTCTATTGAACGGGCCAGGCCCCGTCCTCCATTCAGTCCTTCCCAAAATCCTGCTGAGCAATGGCTGAGGAGCTCTGGCCATGAAGCTCTGAGACTAAAGACCGTGAGGCTTGGGCAGATGCCTTCACTTGTTTCTTCATCCGTAGGACACGCACCTTCCTCACAGGGGGAGGTACGTAAAGCATTTAGAACAGTGCACGGGGACTTAATGAGTGCTGTGTAAACATCAGCTTCTTCATCCCCGTTTCACAGATGTGGCAGGAAAACTGAGTCATGGGGCAGAGTCACAGAGTTGGGCTGAACCAACTAACTCAAGGCTCAGCTCCTAACTACTCTGCCCCGTTGCTTCTCTCCCAGGGTGGCTGGTGGCGTTTGGTAAGCACATGTACGTAGTGTGCTTGGCCCAGCACCCACAGCGGTGTGGGGTCTTGATAACGCAGACACCCCAGGCAGGGGTTCAGCTGTCCCTGTAGGCGCCTCCGCAGTCCCTCCTGCTGAGAGGAGAGCCTGGCCTGGTTCCGGATGCACAGGATTGCCTGCTGCCTGCCCGCCTGCCCGCCGGGGCTGAGCTCAGCTCAGCCAGCTGCTCCCTGGGAGTCCCCAAGCTTCTTCTCAGAGCTCCCTTGGACACACAGGGGTGGGGCACAGGGAAACCTCCTCCACCCAGCTGGGGGCTGGCAGAGCCCCTGCCCACCCTTCAGAAGGGGCTTGCCCGCCCTGCACCAGCTGCACAGCCACCCTCCTTGCCTCAACAGCGGCAGGGCAGGAAGTAGGGCAAAGCCAGGTCCAATTAAAACCGCCAGGGGAATTAAGGTCAGCAGGATGCAATTATGCCTGTTGGATTTAACAAAGCCAGAGGGAAGGTTTCTCTAGCCAGAGTTCACGGCTCCTCAGGCCTCTTGCCCTGGAAGGCTCTGCATTCCAGAAGCCCGAGCTCCCGGGCGCCCCCATCCCTGGGAGAATTTCTTGGGCATGGATGGGTTAACCCCACGCTGGCACTACTTCCCTGGCTCCTGGAGGAAATAGACCCAGCCAAGAGGCTTTAAAAGGACCGGCTCAGAGGAGACATTTCCCAGCCTGACCCTCTCCCTGCTCGGCTGTGATGGAAAATCCAGGGAGTTGAGCAACGACATTTCTGAATCCAAAGACAGCAGCCAACTCCCCTCACGACTTTCCCTCCGGTCCTGTTATGGGAGCCACTCAGGGCTGTTTTCTCTTGCCCTCTCCCACCTTGGGCTCCCGAGCCGGGGCTTTGGCAGCGCCTCTCAGCCCCTGGGACAGCCCCGGTAAGGTTGCTGTCCTTACCGCAGACCCTGTCCTTCCCTCCAAGGCTGGTAAGCAGAAATCTATAGACATTCTGTGTGGCCAACTGAATGTAGATTTATCTGGAAGTTCAAATGACACACTGTCCCATTCCAGAATTGCAGAGTTTTATTGCTAAGATTACTTCTGAGTGCTCCACTCTGTGGCAAGGACCAAACTGGGGAAGAGCTATAGAATCACCACATAGTGCATTTTAGATGAAAAAAGACTGTAAAATCATTCATGAAGCAGGATCCTTTTCTGTTGCTAAAAATATTTATAGAGAAAATATCTTAAGGGATATGTGTGTA